CTATCATTAAAGGATTTTGCTACAAACACCTCTGCAAACACATACACGAACATCTACATCAGTATTTTGTAGAAAGAAATACCCACTCTGCTCTACACTCGTGTGTGATTATTCAATCTTAAGACACCTACGCAAAGTCATTGCAGCGAATTCCGTAAAAAGCAATAAAGTGGATGTGGCGGGCAAATTGCGAATGTGCAACAAAAACAACACCAACAACAACAACGGGAAAAGCACAAGAAACACATGCAATGAGAGCGACAACAATGCAAGCGTTGAAATAAGCGCACAAAAAAGGCAAGAAAGGAAGTGACATAAACAACAAAAACAAAAAAAAAACAATGAAATAAAAAAGGAAAACGCAAGAAAGAAGTATTAGGCAAGTAAATAAAGAAAAGCTTTGCAAGCAACGAACAAATGTGGTGTGGTTTCTCTTGCTGGTGCTAGAAGTGCTAGTGAAGCAGTGTAGCGAAGGGATGGGAGGCGGCGGCCCCCGTAAGGAATGTGGTGGCATGATGATGCGTGTGCAGAATCACTATGCACTGGCCATATTTACATACATACATATGTGTGCGTGTATGTATGTATATGCATGTGATAGCCACTGCAAATGCAGGTGGGAGCTAGTTGAGTTGGAGTGTGGCAGTCGGGCGGTGCTTCCTCGGTCGTTAACTTCTAAACGATTTAGACGCATATGAAGTGGACCTGTTCCAGCTGGTAGTCTCAACTTCACTTGGCTTGCATTCCTCAGTTAGTTGCTTAAAGCAATGTGAGTGGTAGTGTGCGAATATACATATGTGTGTGTGTGTGTGTGTGTATTCGCAATTTCATATAGTTCTTTCCGCAAAATGCCAAGCACGAATGTGCTGCGAGTGCACTTTCTTGGCGAACGCTGCTTCATCGCTGCATTGAAGGCAGTGAGTTGGCCAACTTAGATGTTTGATTTTTTTCTTGATTTTCAGCGGGTTTTATAAATGTGTAAATAGGTATGTAAATATGCACTGAATAATGCACATATGCCGATATTGAATTTGGGAAAATAATGTCGAAAGTGAAGAAAACACAGCCGCTGCACTGTTTTCGATTAAATGCCGCATGAACCTCGATCATAGGTCGAAATTAGACCAACAAACCAGGATATATTTGCTTTAAAATGTTTACTTTAATATCGAGCTTGACACCACGTCCATAGCGCTCACTGGTCAATATCCCTTTCGTCTCCATACCATTTAAAAGCCTCGAGCTCCTTTCAAATCAAATCGTTACACTGAGAAAAAAATCAACCAAAAATTGGTTAACAGTACCGAATTCAAACTTGCACACTCAGCTTCAGCCGCTTTATAAATGTGTCTTTAAATGTTCAACTTGAATCAATTTTCTTCGTTGGTTGATTTGGTTCTGCACTTCATAGATGCTTTTTCGTAATTAAGAAAACCCAGAAACTGACAAAAAAAAAATTAAATTGTGTGTTGCCGCTGACCGCATTCGAACCCGAACCTGCTGGAGGCCAACAAATAAGAAACAGCAAGCACCTCTGCACGTTCAGCTACAGCCAGACATGCGAATTTGTTTTCCAATGTTCAACTTGAATCGCATTTCTTTCAATCGGTGTATTTACCATGAAAAAACCAAAGAAAACTTGATTGAAAAAACTATCGTATGCGGAACCTTTAAGTAAAGACATTTTAGAATATGCATTTATCGGCATCTCCAGTAGTGGTCAAGTAAGAGACTGAATTGACCGATGGCGGAAAAGGTAATCTTTCTCAATCCGCCCCCGACACATGTCTGGCCTTGAGACGGCTCTTCCACGGCTGGAGAACACAAATCGAGCCTTAGGCGGACCATGCGTTTGACGCAGCGTGGTACAAAAACTTGCGCAGCGATGCATTCAGGACGAGTCTCGACAGTCGTAGGATCAAAATTGTTGTTTTGAGAAAACTAAACTGCCGAGAGCGACCAGATGCACTCCAGTAAAACTAAGTGGTGCCACAGGCTCAACAGCTACTATCTCTTTTGCGGGCAAGGTCCACTAACAGTTAACATCTCTTCCCACATCCAAACCGACCAGTCCGGTGACGTTGAGCAGTGCTGCTATAACGCTAATAATAAACGCTAAAAACGTTAACGCAACCCGTAAATCAAAGCCTATTTCTGTCGGTAAGCAGTACTACCTAAATCTGCCCCAGTAGAAAATGCTGAAACTTAGGAAAGCGAATGACGAACTTTTGGTGCATTTCAACAAGGAGACCTACTCCTATATATCTATGCTCAAAATGAGGGCCTCGAAAGACTATTCTATCCACTCACTGTGGAAAAGAAACTATCAGGTGATAACAAAATCTCACTTTGATGTTATGTTTCGGTGAGCTGTGTAACGCGTTTAGAGTGGCTACTTCTTCATCACTTAAGGTGCGCACATGTATATACTGACGTTGCTTAACTATCTCTAATTTATCGGGATAGGTTTTGCAGAAATTAATAATTTGTTTCTTTTAGTTAACGTCCGGATTTCGAGACGATAGGCCAACGGCGAAACGTTTGTGTAATATTTATTTGAGATTGAACGAGCTTGCTTCAAGGAAGTGCGTACGTTACACGTCTGTCTTAAACTTGCTCCAATCCGGCGTCATCACTATAAAGATTGTGGCTCCAGGCAGATACATATATGTAGACCGGTCACTCGCAAATAATTTCAATTGTGTACCCTCGGTGCTCTCCTCGCTATTTCATATTCAATGCTGGATTCTCTGACGGCGTAAACTTAAAGAGTTAATGCTTTTTTGTTTGAGTGCAACTGGGTCGATGAAAACCAGAATCTAGTTAGCCAAGGAAACTTCTTGATTGAACGCATTGCAATTGACACCAAGACTTTCAAATTTCTTCTTGTTTGCCGTCGTCTCATATCATTCAGATTCCGCTTAATCACACTTTAAACTCAAAACATTGTCCTGCAGTTGATTACAATTTCGCTGTGCAGCGCTGCACATCACTATCGTCCACCACCAACGTCAGACAAGCTTCAAAATGTGTGTCCGCGTGAAAATCTGTGCAACGCATCGCATCGCTGGACAATGTCAACGCCAAATGCAGTTGGACATCGCCAAGCGCCTTTGCGCCTTTGCGGTTGTAATCAACGCTCGGTGGCACCCTTGTCACGGTTCTTATGCGCATAAGGTGGCAATGCTGGCATACGCGTTGCATGTGAATGAAGTTATCGTGCGATGCGAATAAATTGCAAATGTGAAATAGGTAAGGTAAGGTAAGGTAAGGAAGAAGGGCAAGTTGCCGCTTATGTCTAGCATGCTTTCTAATTTTTCTATGTGGCATGCATGCGGCAACCAGTTTTATGGCACTTGGACACCACTCATTTCGTGGTATCCACTCTTTCTCGTGCATTCTCTGGGTCTCACCCTTTCTATTCCCAAGCGCTCTTCACAAATTCTTGATTTTTCTGCAAAAATTGTTGCTTCACAAAGTACATATATAAATTCGCTGTTGCTATGTTGTAACAAACGAAAAGTTGCATGCAACCGCAATGTGTTGACTGTTTCGTGTTGTTGGCTGTTTGTTGTTCTTGTGCGCGGCGTGGAAAATATCTTGGCAAATTGTTTGGAGGACGTTGAAGGTGAAAAAGTGCAATGCACAACTACAACTGGTTATGCAGCGCATACAAACATACGTATGTACATATGTAAATACATATGACACATGTTGTACTTCTGTTTGCCGTTCTTTCAGGCACATTTTCTGCGTATATCACATACATATGTTTAACACATGTACATACGAGTAAATCGAAATGTGTCACCAATAAACAGAATAATAAAGCAGCTATGGAATTTCACGATGAAGTTGTAAATTATTTAGCTGAACTATTAAAAGTACTAAACGAAATTGCATTAACTGTATGTATATTTGTAGTTATAATGAGTAACGTAGAAAAGTCGTTGGCATATTTTCGATTCATACTCAAGATCATCAATGATATGGCTATAGTAGTTTTGAGTATATCTATACATACATATAATACAATTGTAACAGGCCGATGTCTGTACATTATAGATATTAAAGAAAAATTAAAATGGCGGGTCTTTTTTATAGAGCAACAGAAGCCAAACCAACAGTTTTTCGAATTTTTGTCTGTCTGTATGTTTGTATGTTTGTACGAGCATCACTCTAAAACTAATGCATGGAATTGAATGCAGTTTTCACCAATGTATTGCTAGAGGTTTAACTTAAACTATAAAAAAAATATCAGAAAGTTGCCACCTGTTTGAAAGTGGCAGTTTAAGTAAATTGATAAAATAAAGTCAATATTGCTAGATGGCTGCCAACAGCAAGAGGTTTAAGAAGGCTTATAGCCAAAAACATTTTTTGTAGGTTGCCACCTTTTTGAAAATTTTAATTCAACTTAATTGATAAGATAAATTAAATATTGCAATACTTATGGGTATCAAACTGAAAAGGTTTAGCAAATTTCACTGCCAAAAATATTTTTGGAGAGGGTTGC